TATTAACAAGTAAAAAAATGTACAGAAAGGAATCACCACTCACTATCCTCTACAGTGTTATTAAAAATGTGAGAACCCCCACCTCAGTAATAAAATGCTCTCACCCAGAGCGCTGATGAGGAGGAGAGGAGGGGAAGAAGGTGTGTGGCAAAACTGCTGACATTGATTCAACATTGATCAGACGTTGATCAGACATCGGCATTTCATTCATTAGATTTCAACCACAAAACACTGATTCATTGACAGTTAGAATAGGATGATTGTTTTATGGTTGATCTACTGTCAGTTTTTGACTTCAACCATACATGCAGCCTTTGTGGTCATAATTCAACATTAAATTAACATCGTGTGCTATCTGGGTAGTTCTTCCCCAAACCTTGACGTCAATCAAACTGACCTGCGTTTTTTCAGTTCAGCAAAACCCCGTTAATCAGACGTCAATTAATATCATGTGTGTTGAATTAGGGAAATGCCTAAAACTTGTAGGGCCTGGAGGACCAGTGCTGAAACACACTGGATTCGACGTTGACATTTCATTTATTAGATTTCAACCACAAAACAACATTTATTCAATGACAGTTTCAACGGTTTGATTGGATGGTTGTTTGATGGTTGATCCACCGTCCTTTGTCGACTTCAACCAAAAATCAACGATTCTAACTATTTTTCAACGTTGATTTAACATCGTGTGCTATCTGGGTATATTTTATTTAGGTTTGAACAGTAGCACATTAATATCTAAAGTAATTTATTTTTAGATAAAAATTGAATTATGACTTGTGAAATAATTAAATAATCTGCTAAAGTTTCAATTTGAAATTGTTGTTTTATCCGTTGAATGGATTTGTTTTGAGAAACAGGATATTATGGCTAGAAAAAAGGCAAAGAAATACATAATCATGTTATCTCTGCTCTGATTGGCTGATCAGGCTCTCCTGCCGCCGCCTCCCCCAGACACGCAGGCTGCTAATTACCTTTTTTTTGAAAGCAGTTTCTGATTTCGTGACCTTGTTTGTTTGTTTTAAGCAGTTGCTGATTTCCTGATGGTTCTGACTCACATGTGTGAACTCGTGGTCCTCGGGCCGTTTGAAGTGCCAGTCCACCGTGGCTCGGGCCGACACTTCCTCCCTCTTCTTACAGGAAATGCAGCCGAGCAGGAATCCTTCTCCGGCCACGGCTTCGGTCATGGAGTCCACCTCCGCACAGCCTGCATGGCACCAAGGCACTTCACCGGAGAGCCGACCAGTTAGACAACAACAAACATTATCAGTCAGTCTGGAGATCAGATGTTAAAGAAATGAAACTAGAAATGTGATCCTGTTAGTTTTATGGTTTTTGTCTTTAAAGGGAGAAATATAGAAATCTCTTCCTCTGAGGAACTTTGTCTTCCATCAATTCAATGATTTTTGTATGTTTTGTTGCCGTACATGAGTTCAGACATGGAATCTGATCAGAGACCAAATCAGGATTTAAGTTTTAAGGTAACAATTTGAGCTGCAGATGTCTGAGCCGTTCTGTTAGTTCTGATTTCTTCTTCTTCTGTTCTTTAGTTCATCTTTTCTCTGGACGCATCGTTTCCGTTTGGACAGTTTCTCCCTCTGGTTCTGGATGCTGGCCAGCTGGGATGATTTCCAGTTGCTATATGGTGTAACCGTGGCAACAAGATATTGTTTTTCCAACAGAGCAGGTGATTAGCATCTCAGAAGCTCAAATAACATCTGAACTTTGACCCCAAATCCCAGAGCTTCATGGATGCAGAGAAGAGACGGAAAGAGTTCAAAGGTCAACGTCTCTCCAACCAAACAGCCTGACAGATTTAAAGAGGAGCAGCAAAAGCAAAAGAGGTGGATTAGCACAGCTATCTAGCAACTGATGATGTCATCCAGGACTTGTTACTGTGGAATATCAGATATTGAGCTGTTAGCAACAGTCTTCAGTCAGAGGCCTCTTCAGACAAACTGCGAGACTGACTGCTACTGGACTCGACTGTTTGAAGGTGTTTGGAGGATCTGAGTCACAAAAACATTTAATTGATTCACCTGCAGGATAAATAAAGGAGTTTTGAACTGAGCTGAATGTAAAAATCTATTTTTTTTATCTTTTATTTCCTTTGGTTTTAAGCTGACTTGGTTTAAGTGATTTCTCATTTTGTGGTTCTTTAAGCTGCTTCAACCAGAATGAACCCGATTCGTGCCCCTTCTGGCTGGTTCCGACTGAAAGCTCAGAGCATTTTCATGCTGGACTCACCAAGAAGGCTGAAGGCGACTAAAAACGTCCAGCAGCTCATTGTTCTGCAGAGGAAATATTCAAACAGCTGCTGCAGAAAAGGCCAGACATTCCCAGATCCAGGAAAGTTCCTGCAGACTGGAGTTACTCTGGACTCCGGACCGGCACCATGCTTCTCCTGCAGGACCGCTCCACTCTAATCCATCAGAACTTCAGATATGAATCATCAGACATTCAGAGCCTCTGAGGTTTTACGGTAAGCTGTCCCTCTGCTGTCTCATCTGACTTTAAGGCGGCTAAATTTAGAGTGAGAATCCAGCGCTGGGCGTGTTGGGAGGCAGCAGAAACCTGAGATGATGAGACGTTCTCCGTAGCAACGTGACCGTCCACGCTGAGTTACACTGGGACGCTTTGGAGGGTTTCCTTCAGGAAAAAGATCATTTGAGTTTAAAATCTGTTTCTTCTTCTTCTCTGATGTCCTTCATCTAAAATCACCTCGCTGTGTTTTGTTAAACAAATATGTGAAGAGCAAGCAAACCCTGAGGTGAAAGTAAATATTGTCACGTGCAGCAGGAGGGTTTCATGTTGTCTGTAAATACAGATCATGTCCTACAGGTCAGAGGTCACGGCTCAAGCTGGACGGGACTCAGGGTTTGGATCAGGGACGTCCCAGCAGGACAAACACTCTTCTGTCAGCAGTTTGATTTGTTGTTGCTATAAAAATGCTCCATTTATTTTGTATTTTTACAGATTTGAATCTTTGATGTTTTCATCAGAAAACAAAGAAAAATTCTTTATTTGATTTCTGTTCTGAAATACAAACATTTTCTGTTTGATGGTCAGAAACAAATGATTTGCTTTTCGTATTGAAAGTAATAAAAATAGCATTTATAGTAAATAAAACTGAAAACTGAACCAGTTTTTGTTACCAGACCTCTGATTCTTGTGACTGTAGGAGGCGCTGTTTTTACTCTGGGCGCCTCACAGCTGTCGTTTCTCACATGTTTTCACCACAAAAATAACTTAACATATAAAATACAAACATCTGAAGCATCCATGACTGAGGATGAAACGTCTGTGGAAAGTTTCCAGCTGTTTGCTTTATCTGATAGAACCAGAACTCAACTCTTTGCTAAAAGACATCATGATTTATGGCATCAGATTTTACTGACTTGCTAACAAAAAGTGCAGCAAAGCATGTTTTAACGTCCAGACTGTAGACTGCAGAGGGAGCAGCGACGTGCTGCACGGCTTCTCCAGACGGGGAAATGTGAAGACAGACAATGAAGCTGGATCTACAACTTCTGGAAGGAAAAAAATGTTTCTCTAAGCTTCAAATTATGCTACTGACATCAGATCTCCTCTATAGAACATGCTTCATTTTTTTTTATAATTTCTTTTTTGCCATATTTGAATCATAATCCACAGATTTGAGTGAATCTGTGTGAGCTGGTACCAGGCAGCGGCCCGGTCCATCTGGAGTCCAGGCTCATAAAGCAGATGCTGGCTGCAGGCCCGGCCACTGACGTGATGAATGACCTCTGACCCCGCTGGGTCAGACTGAACACCATGTGGTCATCTGGGAGTTTTTCTGCAGCGAAGTGTCCCTGCCCCTTCGTCCTCAAACAAGAACAGAAATCAGACAGAGCAGCAGCATAAACAGCGAAGCAGCAGAGGGGGGGGGGCTTCAAGGAAATGTTGACATATGATAAACCCTGCATGCATCTGTACCCTGACCAGAACAGGGAGAGCCAGCTTCTCTCTCTCTCTGCTGCTGCTGCTGGCGTTTCTTTTATTTTTAGCTCAGATCGAGTTTCCAGCCGTCAGTTCAGCTGCTGCAGGCTGAGCGTCTCCCAGCCAGCCGGACACAAGCTGTTCGCTGCACAGGCTGCAGCATCTGAGCTGACCACTGCAGGAGGTGACAAACCGGAGGCTGAGGGACGCAGCATGGGACGTCTGGAAACTGCAGAGTCACTGTGATGCTCTGAAACGGGAAGGTAAAAACGCTCTTTTATTCTTTATGCAGCAACTGCAGCGCTTAGAGCTGCTCTGATGGAGAGTCAGGTTAGAGCCGGAAAACGTTTCCTCTAATCTGGGTTTAAATGCAGAACAATGAAACTCTAAATATCTTAGGAGTTCTGTGTTTGAAACAGTGGATATAGTCATAAAAGATATAAAAGACACATAAAATATTGTAATAAATATGATGATATTTTTATATTTCTTCTGTTTCTGGGATTTAAAAAAATCAGGTTAAAGTGACAACAAATCTACTGCAGAGCTGTTTCATAAATTATTTAATAATTCACAAAGTGAGTTTTCAATCTGTCAGGTTTATTTGTACAGTTCAGCAACAAGGCAGTTCAAAAATGATTTACATAATAAAAACACAAAGATAAAAGTCATAAAAACAGCAGGCTGTCAGCAAACATTACATTGTGTCTACAGCCATCAGCATAATCATCAATACACATCATGTATTTTCATATGCATTGATCATATGCAATCAAGCATATAATGCAATCTTTATAATGTTGCTGGATGGAATAAGTATTCATCTCAAATAATGATCATCTGCACTTTTAACCTGGTGTTAACCGAAAACTTTTTTAATATATTAATTGGCTTCTGTCTTTGAATTTTAGTAAGTTCCTTTTTATTTTTCATCTTTGTGACTGTGAGAATATTTATTCTTTTCTGTATTTCAGATCAGCGTGGTTCACCAAGTGACAAAATGTTTCAGTGTACAAAAGATGTTGAGTCAGATATTATGGGAAATATCCTTCAGATTTCTTTTGTTTACATTATGACTTTTACCAGAAGACTTTCATAATTGATATTGATCTTCTATTAAAAAAAATTCCAATAAACTATTTAAAAATGTTTTGCTCTGGACCCAAACATGTATAAAAGTAAATTGCTTTGTTTTTCCATAATGAGGGACGAAGCAAGCAATGCAGCTCCTCCTGAATCTGAGGCTCTGATATCCATCTGTCCAACAATATGATTAGTAAATATGGTGAAATGAGTTTGAGATAATCCAATAAATGAACCAAACTACTCTTTCTGAAGCCATTCAGAGATTTAAAATAACAAGACAAGCTGATGAAAAGTGAAAACCTCTCCACTCAGAGTATCACATGTTTGCATCTTAGCATGTTTCCTTCTTTACGTTGTTTTTATTTTCAGCTGCAGTCAAGGTGACCTGCCATCCGCTCCTCTGGCTGTTGTTTCTGTTGAAGACATCTGATCTCCTTCTGGTGGGACTCTGTGGGATCAGATGAAGTGATGCCGCTACAGGAAGCAGGTGGGACTTCACTGTGCTTTACACACCCAATCCCAAGTATCGACCCCTTTATTGCTAATCATTTCAGAGAATTTGTTCTGAATATGTCTTCATTAAACACGTAAAACAGAGTTCAGGTTAAAAAATGGATGCACAGACACTGATCGGACACCAGATGTCGCTTTGACACTGTGAATTCTTAAAGCTTGTATTGTTCCTCCCTTTAAATGAACTTTAAAGTTCAGAAAGTTGTGGGATTTTTTTTCTGTATTTGCTGTTTTCCGTTTCGTATCTGAATCTGTCATTGTGGTTTCCTTGTGGACGTACAAAAAAGACCGTTATTTAGGCGAAGCGTGGTTTTATTATTAAAACTGCCTCTGCATCGGACCAACTGAATGGTCCTTTATTTAAATTGTAGATTAAAGTTGATTAATCGCTTATTTTAATCTGTTCGCTGTGCTTTGTGTGGTGTAAACACTCCTTCCTCTCGCCACATCTTTGGTACAGTTATTTCTCCCGGAATATACCAAAAAGTTTTCAGGCGGGGGGATTTGGCGTGTTTAACTTAAAACGTATCACCATTTTAAGGAAGTATTTAGACTTTTTATCTATGACACGTTAAATTGCTCAATACAAAACATAATTGTAGATGTAATAATTTCTACAGTTTGCCCGGTTATATTTATGTCGCTCCGGAGGGGTTCGGTGTCCTCCCCTGTCTTTTGACTCAGTCTGCCGGTTAACTCACTTCGTTCTTTTCACTTTCCGACAAAAACCGCTTTTGTTCGGCTCTTTAATCCGAGACGGTTCGCCTCTCTTGCCAAGCGTACTTCGATATTTAACCTACAATTAATCTGATAAAAGTGACTCTAACAGACTGGAGATGGACGGCGTTGGGACGGTGTTGTGTCTGCTGGAGGTTGAACCCTGCTGGTGATCGGTTTTCGGGCCTCTGGGGGTCCGCGGGGAGCAGCCGTTAGCCGGCTAGGAGCCGTTAGCTGCGGCCGGTAGATGCCTCCTCCTCCACTCTCGCCTCCCGCTGCTGCTGCTGCTGCTGCTGCTCCTCCTGCTCCGTTTCTCGTCTGAGAATGTTGATGTGTTCCTGTGAGAAAGTGGATTTCAGCATCGGCTCCCGAACCGTGGCCCGGCTCGTTTTCGAGGCCGAACAAGACAGCAGAACTGCAGGAAACTCTTCCAATGGGAGGTAGGAGCTCCAAGTTTGGGCGTAAAGCTTCTCAGATCCGGCGCTGAAGCGAGTAAAGGGCTGTTTCACATATTTACATCACCTTTAGTTTAAAATCTGAAACGCGTAGTCCGGTCTAATCCGAACTGGGTCACGTTACGCTGCTCAGATGTTTCTGAAATGCAGTTTAAATGTTGCTCAGTGTGAAAACCAAGCAGTGGAAACTGCAATGCTCTGACCTTTAGATCTCCTTGGATGGAGCAAGTCCAACTTGGACTGGACAGCTAAAATAGGGGGATTTTAAGACTCATTTCACTCTGTTCAGAGCACTTTAAGGAGGTTAACCATGAAAACAAAAATACTGAAACAATTTAGAGGATAATTATTCAGTTTGTGGCTTTTAAATTAAATTACTCATGTAAATCGATCTTTTTGGCATATAGAACACCGTGGACAGGTTTGAAAACTTTGCTCTGACTTTCTCTCTGAAATATTCAGTATAAAACAGGATGGCACAATATGAATATTCACGCCGATAATTGATATTTACCATTACTACAGTAAACCACTAGATTTTTCTGCAGAATGTAACCCCAAATTACTTGTGGAAAAATAGCTTTTTTACTATTGTTTTTCTTCTGTAAAATGTTCGACAGAAAACCCAGCATGGGAAGCTGAAATGCCGTGTACCATCACCGATTGGCTGGCATTTGCAAAGCAGCCAATCCAGGAGCGCCATTTTTACCCCATTTGTGCTGATTGGCTGAACCGAGAGCTGAAGCGAGACTGGATGTTAGCATCTGCTTTAGCGCTAAAACGACCTGGATACTTTAGTATATGTTAAGGTATATTTTGTGTTTGACCTGATATTCTGGGTTTTGGAGGGAGTCTGAAGCTGATGTTTAACATCTCAATCCTGCTGCTTCACTGTCTCTGCCACATGACCAAACAAATACCACATGACCAACTTCCCCCATCAATAACTGTAATCATTGTCTTTTGAAATATTAATGCCTTCATATTTCAGTTTGCGGTTGAACTCTCATCAGCTGCAGTTCTCCTGCTGGAGCCCATCTGTCGTGACCTTTGACCCTGAAATAAACATGTTGAATTTGTCCTTTTTGCATGTTTTCACACCTGGACTAAAGGTGGCATAATTCAGCTGAGCTTTGATTGGTCCAGGTGTTTCAGATGTTGAACTGCAGCTGTCGGCCTGGATCGTTTGAAAACAGTGGAATAGCCCTTTAATCAGTCCGACTCTAAAGCTCCTCTTTCCTCTCTCCACTTGGCTCGGTTCGGTTCTGGTCGGTCCAGGAAGTTGTCGGCTCATCATGTTGTCTTTCATCGCTCAGATTGTTTGGAGGATCAGGCTGTGCGGCTGCTGAGATTACGGTGGATTACTGAGGACAAACAAGCCGCTGCCCAGATTGTTCTTGTTCAAACAGATCGCTCCGATAGCGCTGGACGGGATCAGGATCTTTTCCCTGGAAGTTTCTGCTTTGAGCACAAACAATGGAGCGGAGCAGCAGGGCTGCTGCATGGTTAGCGCCGGGCTTGGTTTGGACCGGATCTGTCTGCTGATGTTGGGTTCTGTCTTCTCTCTGTTCTGGTCGCTGGCTCACAGCGGCTACAACCACAAACTTTCTGCAACTTTTCAGTTCTTACTAAGGGAGTTTCCTCACAGTTTTTAAATATGTCCTTTCATACATTTTACATTCTCTAATGTCTCAAGCAGTGTGTTACTAACTATATTATATTCACCACTGGCTCATTTGTATGGAAGATGATTAGGGCCACTGAAAAAAATGTCAAAATTCTCCTTTTTTTTTTTTTTTTTTACAAAAATTTCATGAAAAAAAATGCCAATTTTAAATTTGTTTTACATAAATTAAAGGGAAAATGTCAAAATTCTAATTTTATTTTACAGAAAATGGAGGAAAAAATGTAAAAATTAAAAATATTACAGATATTTGAGGAAAAATATTCTGAGATCTGAGGAAAAAAAGTTAATTCTTTATTATCTGTTACAATGTTGATTAAAAATGGCGACTTTTGAGAAAAAGTTGTTTTTCTCAGTTGTCTTCTGTAAACTCGTCATATCAGTCGGTTTTTTGACTCTGGGATTTTCCGTGATGGTTGAACTCGTCAGTCACCATCATGAGGCAAAGTGCTTCCTGTCTGAAGGTGCTGATGTCACAGACCAGAACCAGAAACAAATTCACTTACCTTGACAGTTTATTTACTTAACATAATAACTTCCTGGTTATCATGCTGGTCTTTAGTTTAAATAACCTTTAAATGCTGTAAAACATCTTAGATTAAAGTGGCAGAATCTGTGATTTAATGCTGCACCCAAAACGATCAGACCTTCATCCAGAGATGAAGGTCTGTGTGTTGAGTGAAGCATATTGATCAGATCTGTACTGCAACACGAGCCAATAATCAACCGTGTGGTCACATGACCCAGAGCGCGTGGCGGCGGCGGCGTCAGGCTGAACATCAGCTCTCTGCTCTCTCCACTCCTCAGGCAGACTCGGGTCAGGGTGGCGAGCCGCCGCTGCACCGCGCTTACGCTCGCCTGACTCTCTGATGCTGGCGCCATCTGGCGGGACGTTTTGGGCCAGAGGTCCGGAGGCTGCGGCTGGGTCTGGTTCTGGTCGGCTGTTGGAGTGAAGGAACGTCTGCGGAGCCGTTCTGAAACTGTTCTGTCTTCCACCAAACTTTCCTCAGCGTCACAGGGGTTGTGACCTGAGCCCCTCTGTCCGGCGCCAGCAGCATCATGGCGGAGACTGGGTCGGACCCGGCCGTGGCCGCGCAGCAGTGACCCGATGATGAGCTCGTCGTCCCCGCTCAGAGTGGAGCCCGTCTCCATCCCCACCCTCACCGTCTTGCCGCCGTCCTCAGACACAGAGTCCTGGTCCCGCCCCCCCAGCCCCAGACCGCCGGGCCGGTCCCACCGCAGCAGGACCAGAACCAAGCGGCGCTGCGAGGGCCCGGCGGGCCTGCATGGCAGTGCCGCGCGGCCGGGATGGGGCGAGACGCCGCAGATCGTGGTGGAGGATGGCGAGCGGCGCCGCAGCCCGTCTCCCTCGGTGGAGCGGCGGAGCGAGGACAGCCCGTCACATGACCTGCTGCTGCCGCCGCCCCGGTCCTGGTCCAGAAGCCCCTCCCCCGGCCGGCGCTCCCGCTGGTCCCTCAGGAGCCTGCTGAGCAGAGACTCAGACGTGGACGGCTGCAGGTTAGTGAGCAGTCAGTCGGCACTGGACCGAACCGGTCTGCAGTTCTCCTTCAGCTCATCCACATTCAGGTCCAGAGATGCAGTACCAGATTACTGGGCCTCAGTAATCGGATTAGGGACGTTTTTGTCAGAATTTCAGAACCGGCTGGATCTGTAGGGCGGAACAGATCAGAACCTTCAGATTCATGGTTCTGTCTGATGTCAGCTGACCTGTTTCTGACCCGGTCAGAACAATCTGGCTGCATAACCTGCATGGAACCTGCAGATTACCGGGGTTCTAATCCCAATGTATAAACAGCAGGAATAATGTAAACAAACAGGGAGAAGCTGCTGAGGAGGCGGGACCATTCCTCACCGTGATGACATCATCTGCAGCCAATGAGAGCAGGCTCTGGTTCTGATGATGTCATGTGAATCCAATCAGATCAGAGTGCATCACTGAAGTGGGCTGCATGAGCAGCTGCTGCCTTTTACTGCTGCTGCATGTTAACCATGCTGAATAATCTGCTGCATGTTAACCATGCTGAATAATCTGCTGCATGTTAACCATGCTGAATAATCTGCTGCATGTTAACCATGCTGAATAATCTGCTGCATGTTGGGTACAAATAAAGAAATTCTGCTTAAAGTTTAGTTGAAATAATTTGTGTATTTAATTTAATCCAGACCTCCTTCAGATTTTCTTTGATACATTTATTATTCTCTCCAAACGTTTCTTTTAATTTGCCCAGGTTGTGGATTATTCTGAGTCTTTCATGTCAGTGTGTTGCCATTGGAAACCAGTTTTCCTTATCGGCACTCAGACATGAAGCAACAGGAAGAGGAAAGAGAGCACATATAATTTTTAATCAGATAAAAATCATGACACTAGCTTGATGTTTAATCCTCCATTAACATGCCGGAGCCAAACCACAAACCAGATGAGATTATCTGCTGCAATAATCTGTGAAACTAACACCAGTCAGTCTCTGGGGTGAGAACTTGTTCATCACAGTATCACAACCTGTCAGCTCTTCCACAGAAGTCAGTTTTCCTACACCAGCTTCCTCTGTGTCACTTCCTTTGGGAAAGTGGATGGAAGCAGTTAGAAATCCCACTTTTCTACATGTTCATATTATAGTGAACCCCAAATATTCCCAGGGTCAGAGTTCACAGCTAAAGTCCATTATTTTGTAAGACCTTCTCTAAAATTCAGTTCAAATTCAGAAATACTTTATTAATCCCCAGAGAAAAATGTAAGACCCTGAATGCAACATTTTCAATTCTTCATATTTTAATCTACCATATGCATCAATACGCACAGTGACTGGGCTGAGGTGACTCCAACTGTGTCAGGAGGACGTTCTCCTCTGCAGGAACCTGGGATCCTGCCAGACGTTAACGCTGGAGCTGAGCTGCGTTCACAGTCTCGGTTTCAGGCTGCAGGTATAAACCTGTTGACTGTAAACATTGACGGTGAGGAGCAACATGGCTGCTGGTTCCAGATGGTTCTTGACCTCCAGCTCATCCTGGTTCTGTTGGGTTTGCTGTTTTATCAACAGTTTGTTCATTGGAGTGTTTTCTTCCTGTCATCTCTTGAAGCGTTTCTCTGAGTTTTTAACCTGATGTGAACGCAGACAGGAAGCTGATGAAATATCCTGAACCACCAACTTCAGACCTCTGCTTTCACCCACTTCCTCTCCACGCTGTCGGCTCGTTTCATCTCTGTTCTCTTTGGCTCGGGTTCGGACCGCTCCTCATCGTCCGCAGATTACACAGAGGGACAGCCATGCATGCATGCAGGCCTGGCTCAGGCCAGCCTGGATTATCATCTGGACTCTAATCCAGAGAGATGGACGCAGGTTGGGGGTTAAGGGATTGGGTGGGCTCTGTTCCAGTCAGGCCAGATATTCTGCTCAGATGAAGCCAGATTAAATAATCTGTGTTTTACATGTAGAACGGTCTGGTGGTGAATGTGAGGCTGCAGTTTGTCCTTCAGCTCAAACCTTCAGTTTTCCTCTGCCTGGTCATCCTTATCTGAGCAGCAAGGCCTGCTCTTCCTCCTCCTCCTCTTCTTCCTCTGCCCCCTCCTCCTCTTACTCCTCCTCCTCCTCGGCTGCAGAGGGATTAGGGGTCGGCTGACAGACGGCAGCCCGTTACCGGCTCTTGTGTTCGGGCTAGTGGGTTGGCTCGGTCCGGTACCGGCGAGCTCCGCCCGCGGGACGCCGCCGCTTTCCGATCCGAGGCAGAGCGACTGAAAGGCGGCCGAGCGGCGGTCGGTGATCCGGCCCCCTGCCCGGATCCCCGGGCTTTCTGAGTGAGCTCACCGGGGGAACAGGCAGCCAGCGGCCGGCCGGTCGGTGGTTCTGGTCGGGTTTCATCTGGACCTCTGCCGCCTCATGACATGTTTGAGTAAGTGTTGCTTAGCGGGGCCGCGCTGCGCTGCCAGCCGGCTCTCTGCGCTCCTAGCCCGGCTTATCTCCGGGGAAATGAACCGTATCCTGCAGATTCGAGCGCAGCGCCGGTTAGTGGCGGTAAACAGAGATTTGACTGAACGGCTCGCTGCTGCGGGGCTCCTCCATCCCGCACGGAGCGCGAACAACGCGGCCCCGCATGGGCGCTGCTGCTCGGCCTCCGGACCGTTGTTGTGCTGCTGAGGCTGCAGGCTGCTGACCCGTTAGCTGCAGGCTGAGCAGCAGAAGCCTCTACGGATGATTTATTGACGGGTTTAATGTGATGAAGGCAGAAGAAGTGAAGCCGGTTTACCGTCCTGACCTGTTGATCTGATTGGCTGCTTCCTGGTTAGCCTCCATCTTTAACCAGCATGGACTGGTTTCCAGTATGAGGGAGAACTGAGGTTTTAGCAGTTATGGTTTTGCCTGCTGAGCATCATGAATTAAAATCATTTCCATTCTGATGTTCTTTACAGAAACATCACAATCCATTTTATTTTTGGTTTTAGTTTTGTATATTTAAAATATCTTCCAGCTACAAATTCTTTACAAAATGAAACTTTATTGGTCTTTGCATGATGATGTTATCAATAAATTACTTGAAAATGGTCTCACTACAACATGATTATTATTATTGTTAATTACAGTTTGTCGTCTGGTAATGTGACAGGAATCGTTGTGGTTTCAAAGCGGCTCAAAATTCCCCTCATGAAGTTTTAGTATAGAAATAGAAATTACCTTTAACATCCCACAGAGAGGAAATAACATGTCTGTCTGTAGTTTAACGCAGGGCTATGCTGTGCACTGCTGCTCAGCTGGCTGAATGCAGGAGAAATGTAGAATCTGCATAACGAGGAAGATCTCTGGAGTAACTAACGTCTATTTCTGGAATAGTTGGAATATTTGTTGCTTTTTATTAGATTTTGACCATGTTTTATATTTTTGGTGGTGTTTTCTATCAGACTGGTGAACCATTTTTGATCCTTCTTGCAGCTTTTTTTAATTTGTTTTTTAGTTCTGTACATTATCGGCTTCCTCTGCTGGTTGAAGCTTTCGGACACATTAATGGTTTCCTATCGGAGGAATCAAAATGTTTCTGAGGGATTTTTCATGATCAGTCCGTTAAAGACTTCAGCTTTGTTTAGCTGGCGGCTCAGCTAGACGTCAGACCATCTAATGCCTTTTAAAACTACCAATCATTGCTAAAGAGATGTGAAACATAAAAGCACCATGATTCTGTTCTGAGCAACATCCAGTTTCCTCTTCATGTTGCTCATAGTTCCTGTATCAAATTTACAAGCAAAGGTCACATTAGTGGTGAAATCTAAAAGATAAATGGAGTTGGTTTGACTCTGATGTTCCTCCTGCTGGTGAAACGGAGCAGACGATCAGTTCAGACCCACTGCTGGGGACAGCAGAGGGCGTGTGATGCTCTGGGCCTGTTTCTGGTTGCAGATAAATTAATCTGCTTCGTTTGCGTGGATCCAGCAGCAGAGCGAAGCGTTTCAGAGCCTGTGCAGTCCTGCAGCTTCCTGCTTCGGTTGAAGCGTTTCCTCTGGACGGTTTGACTGTCCTTCAGCAGGAAGCTGAAGCATCGCTGTGATGATTGTAGGGAAGCTGTTATACATAAAGAGTGGAGACTGAATCCATCAGTAATAATCAGAGTTCATAAGACTGAAGTCAGACTCCATCTGCAGTTTACTGATGAATAATTACTGGATTTCAGTTCAGTTTGTTGGTTTTACTCCGCTAATCTGTGTGTGTGTGTGTGTGTGTGTGTGTGTGTGTGTGTGTGTGTCTGCAGCACGGCCAGTAACTCTCCACGCAGCACGCCTGGCAGCTCCCCCTCCCTGCGGCGGAGGGTCCTGGGGGGGGGCAAGGCCAGCGAGGGTGAGGCAGGGGGGGGCGGCGCCGACAGCCCTCTGCCCTCCGTGCCCTCCGCCTCCTCCCTGTCCTCCGCCTACCCCCTGGCCTCCCGCCACTTCAGCCGTAACGCCAAGGTAAGGACGGCTCTGAAGGCCCGACTAGCTGGACCCTGAAGGGAATCTACATGTTGCCGTAACTCTGATCATCCATGTGTTTCCAGTAGCAGTCAGTTTTGCAACGAATCTGGAAACGCCTCTGACTGAAGACGGTTAGCATGTGATGATAAAGTGAGAACTAGAACGCTGTCTTCTGAGGGTCGATGTCCAACAAAATAAAAATAAGTCTGTACAGATGTTTAGGACAGCAGATGCAGATTCAAAGAATCGGAGTGAGATTATTGTTTTGGTCAGGATTTAAAAATGAATAAAATGTCTTTAAATATTTGTGCATGAAACAACAAAATACTGTTTATAGTATTTAAATGAATACCAGCAGGGTGTGAATACTTATTGCTTGGAGCAGTGTGACAGCAGCGTCCATCAGGGGCGTTATTTTACCCAGAATCCCTCTGGCTCGGTGCTCCGGGGGGCAGAGCAGCTCTTCCTCATGACTTTGTCTCCCTGCTTCCTCTGAGCTGCTGCAGATTCTGAATCTTCAGTCAGTTTTAGGTGTTTTGTATCTGCAGCTTTAAAACAGGGAAGCTGAAGCTGACGGGTTGCAGCAACCTGCTGCAGCAACCTGCAGAGTTTCCACAGCAGGCTGCAGCAACCTGCTGTGGAAACTCTGCAGGTTGCTAAAGCCCAGCAACTGTCTGTGCTGGTGTGAAATCAGTTTCTGTGGTGACCTTATCTGGCTGCAGAGCTTAGTGACTGTGTTGTTTCTCTTTGCAGAAAATGCAGAGCTGGTACAATGTGAGTACTCATTAACGCCGCCGCTGAACTTTGGCTTCATCTGAAGCCTCTGGCCTCTGAAGCCATGTCTGCCTTCCTCTCCCAGGTCCTCAGCCCCACGTACAAACAGCGCAATGAGGACTTCCGAAAAATCTTCAAGAAGCTCCCCGACTCCGAGCGGCTCATAGTGGGTGAGTTCAGGACGCTTACGGGTCTTTCTGGGATCAAAGTTCAGACAGACGCCCGGTTCTTCAGCCCGGCGGCAATGAAATGAGGAAGAGGAGTTTGGGTGATTTAGTTAGAAGAGCTTCGGCTGAAAGGAGAAGTGAAGTAAGAATGAATCGCTGCTGTTCGTCAGCCACAGGGTTCCCTCACACTTTGCCCTGGAGGAACATCTAACGACCATCACACAGTTTCACTCACACACACACACACACACACACACACACACACACACCAGCCTCAGAACAAAGCAGAACTGGTCAGAACTAGAGCTGCGGTTACCATGACGCTAAAAACCCACACTGCACCAGGATGGGATGTTAAAAATGTGCGTTCTCTCTGCATGCGCTGCCTGAGCAGCAGGTTGGCGTTTCGTCTCGGTGCAGAGCTCAGGAGGGCGGAGCGTTGGGAACACTGCAGTCGGAGAGAAGGAATGAGTTTGGAAAATGTGGAACAATCGGAGCCGATATCGGTGCTGCGCTCTGTTCACACAAGGCGTCTTAAAGGGGCGGCATGTGTTTTCTAGGCACGTAGTGATATTTTATAGCACAATCAACTAACTATGTTACCTTCAGTTGGTATAAAAATGACTTAAATTTAATTTGATTTCACATCAAAGCATCACACCTGATGCCTTCAAATTGGACTCTGTCTCTTTAAGAAGCTCCCACTGTTTCCAATACGCCGCTTTCAGCACATCATCACAACAGTGCTCCTCCATGATGCCGTTCACAACCATTCTACGTTGAGCTAAGGGTCCAGCAGGTGTTTGCTAATTGCTGCTGCCGCTAGTCTGGAGGAGTGTGAGGGTTTCTCTGTGAGGCGGAGTCTTAACCCTGTGGGCGGTTTGTGGTTCTGGTTTCTGTCTTATAGTTGTTGAGTTTTGCTAATTTAGCCTGATTGACTGCAGTGGGGCTTCAGTCAGAACGCAGCAGGACGTCAGCAGATTTTAAACTGTTTACTGTAGAAAAAATTAGCTTATAGGAAGCTCAGTGCATTAAGGGTGTTTAAGGTTAGCAAAATAGTGAAGCTAAAAGTAGCTTTACTACTACATTATCAGATGTGCACACTACTGGATATAAGCAATATGAAAACAAGATGTACGTATGCTACAGAGAGCGATTAATGTTGATGACCTGAGGAAGAACCTCTGGGTTATTTTACTGTTGTAGACAACAAACATAGCAAAGCATCATTTTCCAGGCAGAGACGCCACAAAGCGGTGGTGTCTGACATCATGGACGCAGAGAAGCTGGACTTGCTGACGTCATGCTGGCCGAGTCAGAACCTGGAGGAGAACGCTGGTCTGATGGTCTCTGCAGACTGAATCCGTTTAGATCCGTCTAAACAGAGTTGGTTTCACAACAAGCTGCAGATCTCTGGAAAGTCAGAAAGTTTCACAGGAAATCCTCCGGATCCACACCGTTCACCAGTCAGAACCTGACCTGAACCTGCGCTGAGGTTCGCTTTAAAGGTCAGACCAAAATCTGCCTGGAGACCAAACACAAGAGTGTCTGATTGGCTGATGTGTCTAAAGGGCAGAAAACACTGAAACAAGTTGGATTTACACAGTTATTCCTTCACCAGTCCTGATTATTCTAGTTATGAAGCTTTCAGCTCTTCTCTGAATCATCAGAGACATCAGTCAGCTCCTCCTTCCCTCAGGAGGATGGAGGAGCGTTTACACGGTTTAATCGCCACTGTCAGCCCGGCGTCTGGAGTTGAAGTGATTCCTGCAGAGGTGTGTGCGTGTGTGTGTGTGTCAGCTGACCTGCTCTCTGCTCTGTTTTCACCAGACTACTCCTGCGCTCTGCAGAAGGACATCCTGCTTCAGGGACGCCTCTATCTGTCAGAGAACTGGCTCTGCTTCTACAGCAACATCTTCCGCTGGGAAACCACTGTACGTCTCTCACACACACACACACACACACACGTTTGCGTGGCTATCTTTGTGGGGACTTTCCATTGAGTTCCATTCATTTGTACAGCCTAAACCTGACCTTTACCCTTTTCCTAACCCTAACCAACCAAAACTCAATTCATACCTTAGCCCTAACTCTGACCCCTGACCCAAAAACAGGGTTTCCCCTTGTGGGGCCAGGCTTTGGTCCCCATAAGGTATTACAAACACGCACACACACCTCACTGCAGACGTCTACTTCCTGGTCAAACTCTGCTGTTTGAAGGTTAAATGATTTCATTTCACCATCTGAGGTTTTACTTATTATTAAGGTTTAAATGCTGACGTCTTTATTTCCACCACAGTAAGTTATAAACGGTTATAAGCGGTTATAACTGGGTTAGTTTAACCAGGTGTCTGCATCCTTAAAAAGTCTGAAAATATCTGGAACTCGACTTAAAAACCAACTCGGCCTTTAGTACGTTAAACACAGGCTGACATTGTGTCTGGACAGGATTATTTCATTTGAACATTTCTGTGGAGATAAAGGTTTTAATTTCCATTCAGAAATGTCTTAAAAAGGTTTTGAAAGTTTTAAATTTGAGTTGCTTAAATCTGCAGAGAGCCTGTTAAAGCAGTAAATCATCCTCTAATTATGACATGAGGCTGCGTCTTCATCACCACGTAATGCAGAAGAGCTGCAGTTATAATAAACTGCAGCTACTGTAAAACCCCCTGTTATGAAATTAACCTCAATTTATCACAAATCATAAGTTAAAGTTTAAAGCTGCTTGTTGAGTTTTTCCTGTATGAAGTCAGATCTGTGGTTTAGGAGGTAGTGAACTGAGGAGGTGGTCATAATGTTCTGCTGGGTTTCTAACCGGTCTCGGACCTTCAGCAGCTGTAGAAGCGGACCGGTACCGTCGCTCCTCTCGGTTCCAGTTGAAACGGTTCAGTGTTCCTCTGGAGGTTCTGGTAGAACCCGTCCGGTCCGGTCCGCTTCTTCCCTCTGACTCATGTTGTCAGAACCTCCTACTGATCCGATCAGAACGGTGGTGGGTTCCACTGACTGGGCCTTTGACCCAGTAGAACATTTTGCTGCCTAAAAATAAACAGCAGCATCATTTTGTGAACTTGATTATTTTTTAGCAAACGATGAATCTGCAGCCAAAACCCAGAATAACAGAATCAGCTGAACATAAGCGCAGAGTGCGGCGGCGGCGATGCGCGCGGCGGCGGCGATGCGCGCGGCGGCGGCGATGCGCGCGGCGGCGTTCCTGGAAATTAACCAGATTCATTTTCAGATTTATCCATTAATAACTGCATGAAAAATATTCTTAATAGGAAATTTATTGTTTTGTCTTAAATGGAAAGTGTTTCTATTTATTGCTCAGTTTTGGCTTAATTACATCTCGACTGTTGTTTTTCCTTTTTACACTCCAGTTATTGATTTATTGATTCTGAACTGGTTGATTATTTCAGCGATCGTTTCAGCGCTGCTGGAGACTCTCTGCTCTCAGCTGATCTGTTTTCCACTCTTTGTGAGACCAGAAGCGCCGTCTGTCTGGACCTCTGTTCAGTTCAGGCGCTGAAAGGGAGCGAATCTTTACGCCGTCTCTTATTTTACGTTTCATATTTTTACTTGTCATTAATTCGTAGAAGAGAAGGATTTTCGTTGTTGATCAAAATAAATTTATAAAAGCAACAAAAGAATAAAATAACCAAGGGAGCGAATACTTTTCATCCTGTTAATGACTGTATAGTTTAACCTGCAGGTTTTATGTTTTTTTCTTTAATGATGAATGAAGCTGATGTTTCTCAGATCACCATCCAGCTGAAAGACGTGACGTCTATGACGAAGGAGAAGACGGCCAAGCTGATCCCCAACGCCATCCAGATCAGCACCGACAGCGAGAAGGTACGCCGCCCGCCGCACCTCCTGCTGCAGCAGCGATGGGCGCAGCGTTCCTGCTGCTGCTGCAGCAGGACGGAATCGGCTGACTCGGCCGGATCTCCTCACGCTGACGAAGCGAACGCAGGAAGTCCAGCTGTCTCTCTGTTCTCACGCCTTTCTTCCCGTTTCCTGCCTCAGCATTTCTTCACGTCGTTCGGCGCCAGGGAGCGCAGCTTCATGATGATTTTCCGCCTGTGGCAGAACGCGCTGTTGGACAAGGTACGGCCTCCCGCACACATCGCCACGGTTACCGTCTCCGAGTGGATGACAGTTGGGAAGGAGCTGTGAAAACGGAACCACAGGCCCGAGGGAGCGGATCTATTTACTGGCTGAGTTCCTGAAACATTAATTATTGGATGAATTGTGAAAAACTGTTTGAAGTTGTTTTTTAATCACCCGATCAGAATTTTCTTTAGTCCGTCGTAAAGAGTCGCCGTTTGTTTCCGTAGCTGTTGTAGGACAGTCCGGTCTGACGGTGTGAAGCAGGAGGCGGCTGGTTGAACATCGTGAGGTGAAGTCTGAGTCTCAGTTCTGTTTGCTTTCAGTCTCTGTCCCCCAAAGAGCTGTGGCACATCGTGCACCAGTGCTACGGCACCGAGCTGGGCCTGACCAGCGAGGACGACGACTACGTCTCTCCCACCAGCGAACACATCAACGGCCTGCTGTGAGTGTTTCCATGGAAACCAACCAGAGACCGAGCTTCAGATGAACTTCTTTCAGTCGGACTTTATAAAACTAAAGTTCCTCTGTTGTTTGCATCTGTTCCTCAAAAGCACAACCAGTTTTCAGCGTGAACATGCAAATGCTTCCCCTGGGGCTTCGTTTGCATACTCTAACCAATATTTCTATTGTCTGACTGCTTTACATTAACCGCCTGCCTCCTCAGGCCGGGAGAGGAGTCTGTGTCGGTGACGGATCTGTTGGACCTGAGCACGGTGTCGGCGCCGTCTGCCGGCAGCTCCCCGCCTCCCGTCTCGGTCCACTGCGGTCTGACCAGTCCGGCGTCCGCCCCCATCCTCAGCGGCTCCTTCCCGCCCCCCTCCGCCGCCTGCCAGCCCATTGAGGTGCCGTCCTCTTCAGGAAGTAGACCCGGCCCAGAACCCATGGAGCCCAGCCCGCCCAGCTGCCACGGCTCGCTGCTGGCCCTCACCCCCCCCATCACCGCCTCAGTCTCTGCAGCCGCTTCCTTCGTAAGTGGTCGCAGCATTCACACTTACAATCAGCTCTTATCTCCGGCTGAAAAGCTGCAACTGAAACATAAACTGCAGCAAATGGAGGAACGTACGAAACAGATTCTTTAAGCTCTAAAGTTGCTTTTTTAACACATCCAGGATTTTAAATTTTAATGTCCTTGAAATTTGATGCTTTTTGTTCTGTTCTCTGAAATGAGTGTTCACTTCCACATTCTGCTGCTTTTTCTGCAAATTTTCTAATTTTCAAAATTAATTTAAGGACGAAGAGCAAAATATGTTGTGATATGTCAAGTTGTTAATTTATAGCTTTTTGGGAATCACAATTTTGGTACCAAGCTAGTTTACTGCTAAATAATTGAGTTTAAATAAACCAAGCTAAATATGCTGATAATGTAAAATAAGAAATCAGAAGCATAAATAAATCAAGAACATGAAAAATAAAACTAAACTGAGAAAGTTCAACCCAGGTAAGGTGATGTCTAACACACTTGATGTTAGCTGTGCTGAAGTAATGCATCGTAAAATAAGCTATGCTTGCAAGATGTATTTGCTGTGCTAATATAATGTAGCAAACTATGCTAGCACACTACATGAAGTAATAATGAAAATAAGATACAACGTAGCATAAAATAAGCTATGCTAACAGCGTAAAGTAAGCTATGCTAGCAACGTAAAGTAAGCTATGCTAACAGCGTAAAGTAAGCTATGCTAACAGCGTAAAGTAAGCTATGCTAGCAACGTAAAGTAAGCTATGCTAACAGCGTAAAGTAAGCTATGCTAACAGCGTAAAGTAAGCTATGCTAGCAACGTAAAGTAAGCTATGCTAACAGCGTAAAGTAAGCTATGCTAACAGCGTAAAGTAAGCTGTGCTGACGGCGTAAACAATTCTATTGTGGCACAAAGATGTTCTAACAGTGTGAAATAAGATCAAATAGGCTTAGCTCATGTAACTAACCTAAACTAAAATAAGCTCAAGGAAATAAAAAAAAAATGTAGCCGCAGCTGCATCCCGTTTCTCACCCATCACATGACGCTGGGCCGTGTGCCCCCTTTACCCCCCTCTGCTTCAGACCCTGGAGGAAGGAGGCGACAGTCAGTCCGAGTCGACCAATCACATGCCGCCCCCACCGGCCGCCAGCCTGGGAAACCTCTCCTCACTGGACATCACCAACGACGAGGAGCTGCCCACCGACCCCAGCAACTCGTCCGATACGCAGGAGGAGAGTAAGTCTGATCTGTTTCCTCACATGAACTGGTTAAAAGTGGCTGAACTCTGGAAAACGTTTCTAATGAAGCCGTCAGAGGGGAGTTTTTACCTCCAAGACTCAGTTCTTAATTAATGTCAGCCTGGAAGCACCATGAGGCCGGTGAAGTTTAAAATTAAAGTAATTAATTAAATTAAAGTGACAGGGTCAGAGTGTGTGTGTGTGTGTGTGTGTGTGTGTGTGTGTGTGTTGCGCACACTCTTTAAAGCAAACAGGTATCGCCTCCAAGCTCTTATTAATGATGAATATCTCGATTATTTGATTCAAACAAGCTGTGCTTAGTTCAAGTTCATCATGTAAAAACCAGCGTCCTTAAGAACAAAGTTGATGCAGAACCAGACCGTAACTGGACCTGTTTGCTGAACTGTTAGACTCTGAGTTCACCCGGGTTGACTCTTTCTTTCCAGTTCAAACTTTAAATTGTTTCTTTCTGGGTCACTGTGGGTTTTTTAACCCAGCAGTGTCTGGAGAACCTGTCTGGTTCTGCCTGGGTGAATTCGGCCTGAAGGAGAACCTGCAGGTCTCCCTGAACTGACCCTTGACCTCACCTGACCTCCAGCTTACAGGAACGGTGTAATGGTTTGTCTGTAAATACCCAGGAAACAGTTTTCATTTTCAGCAGCCTTTAAGCGGTTCTGGATCTGTGTTGAGGTTCTGCTGCAGAGCCGACCGGGTCGGCTCTGCAGCAGAACCTCAGAGACGGAGATCTGTGACCCCACAGAGGTTGAATGAGCTTCACCTTTAAATCACTTTATACCAAAACAGGATTTATTTATAGCTGCAAAACATTCCTAAGATTTGGCCCAAATGTGACGTTTAATTGACCGAACCAGATTCATGTTCTAGGAATAATTTTAGATCTTTCAGAAAGATTAATTTTATTTGCTTTAAAACATTTGTTTTAAAATGAAGCAAGAATTTTCTCAAAAGACCCAAAACGTTCCTGTGGATCATGGAAAGTTCTCCAGGTCTAGAGCCAGAGCAACCAGATCAGCTCCAAGCTTCAGATTCAGGATGTTTCCACACCTGCATGGAGGAGGAATGGCAGACGGTTTACTTTAACTATTCACTTACTGCAGATAAACAGCAGCCTCCAGTCAGCTCATTTCTGATCATCTCTGGATTTATAAATAAAATCTCTGCTTAATATTTTGTTTCCCTTTGGGTGGAAATAAGTATTTTAATTGAATTTAGTAAAGTTTCAAACTAAATAATTAGCTTGTAACTAAGATTAGAAATTATATATGTAGCTAAGAGCTAAATATCTTACAAACTAAATATTTAGCTTTGAAATTAAATATTTAATTTACAAAATTATTGTTATTTAACTTGAATTTAAATATTTAGCTTTAAACTAAATATTTAGTTTTTGTTATCTTGGAGCTAAACATTTAGTTTGATGCTAAACATTTAGCATCAAACTAAACACATACCTTGTAGTTAGATATTTAGTTCAACTAAATTTTTTGCTTAATAATCTAATATTTAATTTAGAACCTGAATATTAAGTTAGCAAGCCAACAATTTATTTAGTTGAACTAAATATTTAACTTCAAGATGTGTATTTAGTCCATTAACTAAATGTATAGTTTGAAGATAAACATTTAGCTTTTTTCTAAGTACTTGGTTTACAAACTAATTTTAGCTCCAACTAAGTTTAATTAACTACAGTTGTTCTGTTTTTTGTCAGGAAAAATAAAAATACAGAAACATGTAAATGGCTGTGAATTGTTGTGAAATTTGTTGGGAATGAAAGGATGTTGGTAGTTTCAGCTGGTTTCTGATGAGCTGAAGCAGCTTTGGCTCCCGGTTCTGTTGGTCCGTCCATGCAGCCAGCAGGAACTGTTTGGGCCGGATGTCAGGGCTGCCGTTTGGTTTCTGTGAATGTTTGCTGGGACGTGAGCGACCCGCCTCTGTGTGTTGCAGCGTCGGGCGAGGTGGAGGCGTTCTGTTCGGACCTCAGCGGCCGCCTCAACATCAACACGGCGGTCCGGATGAGCGTGGACAAGCTGCACGACCTGCTGTTCTCCGCAGACACGCACTTCATCCAGCACCTGTTCTCCCAGAGGCACTTCACCGGTACGTCAGCCCCTCCCCGGCCCGGGTCCGGGTCCGGCCCTGTCTCCAGCTCCGCCTTCCTGGCGGTTCAGTCGTTCAGTCGGCTGGGTCTGCAGAGCGTGTGTGAACTTGTCGCTGTGAACATGAATGCCAGTTTTTCCTGTTGAGGCGGTGACCGTTGGAGCGTTTTGTTTTCTTGCTGCTCTCATTGAGCTCCTCAGACTGCTGACACACACACACACACACACACACACACACACACACACGCCTCTAACCGTGTGTGTGTCTCCTCCTGCTGCTTTCTGCAGCCGTCACGAGGAAACTTGCTGCTCATCAGATCATCTGAACCCGGTTCAGTCAGTTTGAGCTTCCAGATCAGTGTTCGCACAACGCCAAGGTGGAAAGACATCAGCAATGACATGGGGAGGGTCAAAGGTCATTTCCAAATGATTGGACGGTGACTCTCCTCTGCTGGTTTTATGGGAGTCCAGCAGCTGAATGTGGGTCAGCCGCTGCTGGTTCTGGTTCTGATGGAGACGTTCCGCGTTGAAGCTTTTCTCCAGGTTTAGAAACGATTTTAACCAAATTAAACTTAAATCACAGAAAGATCATAAAACAACCACAGCCCACATCATCTGTTTACCTTCTGGACTTTTCCATGTTTTCATGTCCGCCATTTTCTCTCTCTCTCTCTCAGACCTGTCAGTGGGCGAGTGGCAGCAGGACGGCGCCAGCGGTACCAGCAGCCGGGTTCTGAGCTACACCATCGCCCTCAACAACCCGCTGGGCCCCAAAACCGCCCCGGTGGTCGAGACGCAGGTTGGTTTCTGCAGCTGCAGCGTCCAGGTCCAGCTGACCTTTGACCCTGCAGAACTAACCGTGCTCCCCCTGCAGACGCTGCATAAGAGCTGCTCCAGAGGCGAGTGCTACGTGGTGGACTCAGAGGTCCTCACGTCTGGGATCCCCTACCAGGACTACTTCTACACCGTCCACAGATACTGCCTGACCTCCATCAGCAAACACAAGAGCCGCCTCAGGTGGGCCGCGCGGCGCCGGTCGCCTCACCGCAGGGGGGCCAGCTGGTGTCTTGGTTTAACATTCAGTTATCTTTGGACACAGTAAGAAGAAACAAACATTTAACAAAATGATGAAATGACGTTGGTGAGCAGAAATCTGTGTAAAGTCACATTATGATGATCTCTCATCAACCTGGACTGCATCTTTCAGTCCTTCATAATCTCAATCTCAAATTAAGCCACAACATGATAAACGGAGCTAATAAAACTTTATTCGACCAATAAATAAATATAAAACGACATCAACCATAAGAAACCACAGGATGTGGTTAATCTGTTCCAGGTAGAGCTGCTTCATGCTGTGCTGCTGCTTCGCTTCTTTGGGGGAAAGAAAACAAAATTTCTGAAAAGTCACTAAATATTTGGACCAAGTTTCTGGTCCAAATAATCATCCAGTCATGATGTGGGAGCTTCATGACTGTCTGAGTGTTTTTAGGCTTGAATTGGTGGAAAATATTAAAACTGACCCAGATTTAAATCTGTGGATTTAAATATTAATAACTTTGTTTTGTTTTGCGTCTGAGCTGCTCTGACCGCCGTTGGCCTGCTGACCGGGTCGAGCCGCTTTCCTCACTCTCACTGTTTGCTCTGCGATAACAAACCAATCCATGATTAGATAAGGGAGCAGAGACTGAATGATTGTGTTGGTGAGCGCGGGTCGGGTCAGAACCGCTGCTGCTCGTTGGCAGCAGCTCCAACGTTGCCAGCCTGTCTGGGTTTAGCGAGCAGGAGACGAGCTGCACGTCAGACATCCACAAGAACAAAAGGCTGAAAGGTTCTGACCCGTTTGGGTCCATCTGAGGACGTAACTGATGAGGTTCAACCTGTTGAACTGTTTTACTGTCGTCTTTCTCATGCTAACATCTAGGAGTCGTTTCTGAATAAAATCGTAAAATGTTAGTTACTGTCCAATGTAACGTAAGCTAAGCTAACTGAGCTAGTCCAAAATAAACCCAAAGATGCTAAAGTTACTAAGCTAAGCTAGAACAGGCCATGCTAAAGTAAGCTAGGTTAACTAAGACTGTCTGGCTACTTACTCAAGCTAAGTTAATGTAAAATAAGGTGAGCTAACGTCATCAAAGCTAAGCTAACTGATACTGAGCTAATACAGAAGCTTAAGCAACCTAAGCTAAGATGAATTATGCTAAATGGATTAACGTGAGGACAAATCTAAGGTTAGTTCAAGATTAGAAGTGAATAAAAGCCATTTTTGTCCTCATGAGTCGCTGCAAGTTGCTGCGTCTGACGGCTTTGCTTGGTTTTCCCTCCATGCAGAGTTTCCTCAGACATCTGCTACAGGAAGCAGCCGTGGAGTCTAGTCAAAGCACTGATCGAGAAGAACACCTGGAGCGGCATAGAGGAGTACTACAGGAACATGGGTGAGGCGCCGCGTCCAGCCTTCGTTTATCCTCATCATTCAAACATGGATGATGATGATGATGATGAGGAGGAGACTGACTGGAGGTTTTCCTGCTTCTTTAAAACTCATAAAAAACAGATGATGTTTTAAAACCTGAATATAATAACCAATACAGGTTGTTTTTTTCACTGAACTTTCACTATAAAACAATACTAAAGGTACTTTATTTGGATTTAATCACAAGTAAAATATTAATTTTTTAGTTTTTAAATGATTTTCCAAACATCATTTGGAAAATGATGTTTGGAAAAGGTTTTATGTTTTTCTTTATTTTGAAACTTAAAATAGAAACAAATGTGATTCTGATTAAGACTCGCAGCTCTGAGCGATTTATTTTACTGACTGACAGCAAAAATGGCTTTTGATTAAAAATGTTGCCGACTTCTTGTTCATATTAAAGCAGATTTATGGGTTAGAATGGCCTAGTCAAAGTCCAAACCCAAATCTAGTGAAGTTCTCAGGGTGTGAATATTTATCTCCTTCTCACTCTTCCTCCTCCTGCTTCCCACATGCAGAGAGCGAAGTGTGCAAGCTGGAGACGCTGCTGCAGACCGAGGTTTCCGTGGTAACCACAGGCGAAGCCGCGGGCGCCGACACCGCCAGGACGCCGCCGTCCCTGCGACGGCGAAAGCGCGCCTCCTCCCGGCGGCAGAGCGAGAGGGAGGGAGGCGGTGCGGAGGCGGGCGATCGAGGGGAGCGAGGCGTCGGGGAGGAGCGGAACCGCAGGGAGGCCAGTAAGTCCAGGCCGCCCCTCTGCTGCCCCCCGGTGGCCGGAGGGAGACGTCAGAGCGCCGCTCGGTGTTTCCTGCTGCTGAATCGCTGCTTGGTGTCTGCAGGCGCTCCGTTCCTGAAGCTGGGCGAACGCGGGCGCGCCGGCGGACACGGCGGCATCTCCACCGTCCTCCTCATCGTCAGCTTCATGTAAGCGCCCCCTCTGGTCGCCGTCGGTCCTGCATGTTTGCAGCTCTGCTCTGATTGTCTCTGAATGTTCAGCTGCGTCTCAGTAAGTCAGAAAATCAGTGAGAAACTTAAAATAAATATTTATTCCTCTTCATTTTAATGATTGTGGTTAAAAACACAATCTGTTTCTCAGATTTTATATTTTCCAGGGAAACAGATTTGAAGCTCGTTGAGGCTCCATCCACATGAACCGTCGCTTTCCTTCCACTCAACTTCCCCCCCCCCCCCTTTGTTTTAAAATAAAAATTTTTTTTATAAATTTTTTTTTTTGGTTTTA